CTGCTGCTGCTGCTGCTGCTGCTGCTGCTTCTGGGTGGCTGCCTTGCTGGCAAGGTCCTTGGCCCTCTCGGTAGCTGCCAGTGCCGTCTCCTTTGCCTTTTCTGTGCTTCCTTGGCGGTTTCAACAAGCGTCTTAGAAGAGGCCTCCCCCTGCAGCTTGGCGAGGGTGTGCTCAAAGCCCTTCATCGCCGTGGTCACATTGCTCTTACACCGGGCCAGACCAAATTCCTGGACAGCTCGGGAGACACCTAACAAGTTGGAGGAGACCCAGGCTTCCCGCCGGATTTCGGTCCAGCCACTGTTGTCAGCGTTCAAGCGGGGAAACACGGGGCTCCTCCATCACCACTAGCCAGGCATGGTTGATGGCCAGGGGAAGGTGGTCAGGGTCCGATTCTGTGGGTCCACAATGGAGTCCTCCAGAATGTACACCGAGTGAGCAACATTGGCAGGAAGTAGTCGCTTGTCCCAGCGGGGCATCCTGTTGGTCTTGGTCAGGTGTCGCCTGGACAGGAGTTGCTGGTCAAGGGTCATTATGTCTTCTGTCAGGACATGCTTGCAGTAGGGATTCGGGTACTGCTGCCAGAAGGTGGCGAACTTTTGGTCCTAGGGATTCGGGAGCATGCTCTGGCCCAGGAAATACTTCACTATCGTCCCAGCCAGCATCAGGGGTGCAGAGCCGGGGTCATGCAGAGGCGCCCACCAGCCTCACAGGTCAGCCACCGCCACACCACGCCCAACCCACCGCCACCATGAGGTGTGGTCAAAGCTTGATACTTCATTCTTGTTGGTACTGAGGCCCCTCATTTTCTACTCACATCACTCTCTTCTTACCTAATGAGATGCAAGGTGATGCAGGCCGCACCTCAGGGAAAACTCCTCTTGTGTTGGATCTGGCTGTTGCCTGTGAGGCATGCAATGCGGAGAGACAGGGGGCATGGGAAGAGAAAGCTGATCTTTTACTTAGAAGGTTGTCTCTGGGTCTAAAGGGTACACCGTTGCACACAGGCCTGTTGCTGTGATTGGAGCCCTTGCATGTCAGAGTGACATGGATCCTCCTGACCAGAGGGCAGGCCAGTCCATGGTTACAGTGGTCATCCCCACATGGCCTCTTATCCATGTCCTATCCATTCCCCTCCCACCTTCAGTGGGGTCTTCTTGGTGGGGCAGTTGACTATCAGGAATGGAAGCAAGCAGGTGTTTGAAAAACATTGGAACTCACTGGGCCATGCGTCTTCCAGCACAGCCATCAAGTTAGGAAGTCCAGGCTGGCTAGCTGAGTTCATTTGGTCTGTGGGCACCAAGGGTGAGGCATTGGAGGCCCTCCTTACCAGTCAAGCCCTAGGACTGTGGCCAATTGAGCTGCCAATTAGACCACGCTGCTGGCCCATAGCCATATTTTTGCTATCAGGTGCCATTGAGTCAATTTTGACCCATAGCGACCCTATGCCCAGCCGAATGAAACCCTGCCCAGTCCTGCACCATCCTCACAATTGTTCCTGTGCCTGAGCCCATTGTTGCAGCCACCATTCCTTCCATCTCCTTGAGGGCCTTCCTTTTTCACCGCCCCTCCACTTGACCAAACATGATGTCTTTCTCCAGGGACTGGTCTCTCCTGACAACATGTCCAAAGTATGTAAGATGGGAAGTCTTGCCATTCTTGCCTCTAAGGAACACACTGGCTGTACTTCTTCTCAGACGGACTTGTTTGTCCTTTGGCAGTCCACAGTACTTCCAGTATTCTTCTCTAGCACCATAATTCAAATGCACTGACTTTCCTTTGGTCTTAGATTCCTCGTTCCCTTTTGGATTCTTTGAATTCAATCAGTTTGGTACCAAAATTTTAAATTTCCTAATGTGTGACTTATAGGAGCCCTGGTGGCATAGTGGGTTATGTGCTGGACTGCTAACTGTAAGGCCAGCAGTTCAGATCCACCAGCTGCTCCATGAAGAAAGATGAGGCTTTCTGCTCCCGTGGAGAGTTACAGTCTCAGAAACCCACAGGGGCAGTTCTATCCTGTCCTATAAGGTCACTATGAGTCAGATTGACTTGATGGCAGTGAGGTGGTGTGTTGGTCTGGGTAGGCTAAAGAAAATTCATAAACACTCATTATATATATATATATGAGAGAGAGTTTTATATAAAGGGTAATTATGCATTAAGCATCCCAACCCAGTCCAGTCCAAGCCCTTTAGTCCGACATTAGCCTGACATCAATCTATAAAGTCCTCCTCAAACTCAAAAAACACACACAATGACGCCGACTACAGGAGGAAAGCCGAATCAGTGAGCATGTAAGCATCTCAGCGCTGGCAGGGGTCTCCACACGGCTGCTCCAGCACCCAGGGCTGCATCAGGGTAGGTCCATGTGGCTTCTCCTCAGGGATGTCTCCCAGGAAGTGAGGCTTGCCAGCTGAGGCAAAGAACTAGCTAAGGCAACTGGTCCGACCATCAGAGAGCAAGATACAGGACACGCGAGACTTGCTGAGCTATTTATCTCTCCACCCTTCAATTAATCCTGCATGTGTTCACCAACCAGGTTGGCACAATAAACCCTAACTATCACAGCTGTTTGGTTTTTTTAATGCATGACTTGTGCCTGAAGCAACTCTCTATCTCTTTCTAATGTTTTGTTCCTTGTTTTCGTTCTTTCTTGTTTTCATTTATTTCTTTGACTATAGAGTTTGGATGGACTTTAACTGAAGCAATAGTTTCTGGATTCTTTTGGTTTTTTTGCTGCTTAGTATTATCGCTTTGTAAGGAGTCCTTCGATGGGGCAAATGGTTAAGCACGTGGCCACTAGCTGGCAGGTTAGTGGTTCAAACCCTCATAGAGGCACCCTCTGCCTTCAGAAGGTCACAGCCTTGAACACCCTATGAGGGGTTGTCATGCACACACAGGAACTGACATGATGGCAACTAACAACAACATGTGCTGGTAGCATGCTTGTCCCTCTCAGTTTCCCCGGCCCTTCGCTCACCCTCCTTCAGAACTTCAGTCTCAGGTTGCTCTCATCTACTGCCGTGGGGAGGGGAGGACAGATCCCCACACACTTGGCCGATGGCCGCCCTTCTCCCTCATTTCTTTGGTTCGTTCTTTTCAGAGTCCTGCCCCTGCTCTGCCTTTCTCCCAGCTCCGACTGAATGTGAGGTCAGTTCCGCAGGTCTGACTGCTGTGCCCAGGGCCTAGGTCAGCTGGGTAGGAACATTATTCCCAGGGACTCCTGGGTCAACCACACCTTCCACCCTTCAGCCCAGGCTGTGTCTCCACATGGCTTCATTCCCTTTTTGCCTGAGAACTGCTCTCTGTGAGGAGGGGAGATACTACCTTGTTATCCCTGTGGTCACCAGTTCGCTTGGTCCTAACGCTTCTATTTAGGGACGATCTTGGAAGTTTATGGTGTGATGTGGACGTCTTTGTTTTAACAGTGGCATTGAAGTTCATGGTGGGCATCCTTGTTCTGAAGGTAGCATTGAAGTCCCTGTGAGGGGTGGGCATCCTTGTTCTAAGGGTGGCATTGCTGGAGAAGCCCTTCTTTGCCTCCCTCCTTCCAGGGCACTAGGCACTGTGTTCACTTCTTTTAGGTCCTTTCCCTGAGTATTGCCCCTTCTGTCTTTCTAAACTTTCAGTGTTCATTTTGGTCCATTGAGGGCTATTTTCAGTTCACAATGAACTTTGCTTGTATTGGGGGAAATTATGTGATGAGCAAATCAGATGACTTTGGGATTGCCTAATTGACGAGATGTGTCAATCACATTTGCAGTCTCGCCTTAAGGAGTTGGAACAAGAAGCTCATTTCGTGGCAGGAGAACAGTTTCTGATGACAAGTAACAACCAGCTCCGAGAGGTGATGTGAAATCGAGGCTCTTTTTGAAAATGGGTTTCTCCTCCAGGGACGGGAGGGGGGTGATGTTCTCATGCCATGCAGGTCATTTCCTGCCAGTTATCTGACCAGTCTGCCAGGTGCTCAGGTTCTCACACACAGAGAGCCACCCCTGCAACACTCGGGGCTGAGGAAAGCAGATCAGATTACCTCAGGGCTGTGGTGGGCTGTTGTGTGTGTGTGCGCGTGGGGTGTGTGTGTGTGTGTGTGGGGGGGTGGTGGTGGTGGTGGTGGTGGTGGTGTGTGTGTGTCTTGGGCTGGCTACTTTGACTTGATGTCTCTTATCTCGGGTCCATTGCTTTCATTGAAGATCCTGTTTGGCAAACTAAAGCTGCACCTGCTGCCTCAGAAGAAGACTCTGCCCAAAACGGCGCTGCAGAAGCACACATCCACCTCGGAGGCCGTGGTAAGCCCGGGCCACTGTTTTGTTCTTGAACTGATAACATGCATCCTAGATTTGTGAACTGGTTTCAGGCACCCCAGTCCCCTCCGTGTCAGACACAAGCACTCTCCAGAAGCATCTGATTGGGTTGATTCCCTGCAAGGGATCATTGGGTGGGTTTGGTTCTGAAAGCTAACTTGCTTCTGCCAGTCACTCCTCACTGTTTCATGATGGGGAAGCCACCAGTGTCCACCTTTCCATTATTTTAGGGCAACTTAGTGATCCTTTTCTTGAGAGGAATATGTTTTCAAAGAGTCAGGAGATAGTGAAACCCCACCTCCTCAGGAGGGTGGAGTAGAAGCCACATTCAGACTCCCTTCAGGCATTTCACTGAGAACGGGCAGCAGCGGTCAGCAGAGACGTGGAGGGTGGTTCTGTGGCGGGAGCCTGAACATTTTCTGCCGTGATCCGTCTCCACATGCCTTGCTCTCCCACTTGTCGCAGCCCTTTTACGGCAGGCTTCCAGGACATGGTGCTCACGGGACTCCACTCATGGGCTGTCTTGCCCCCTGACCCTCCATAGGTATTTCTGAGTGAACCAAGGGCTGAGGGGAACGCAAAACTGCCCCCTTCTAGAGCCTGCTTTTCAAGGCCGCCTCCTTTCACCCCAGGTCCACAGCATGGGGCTGGCCAAGTATCGTCTGCTCTCTGCCCAGTTTTCTGATCTCTCAAAGAAGGACAACATGAGGGTGCTTCAGAAAGCTGGAAAAATTGAATGAAAAGGTCATGGAAGAAAAAAAAAAAGATCATGGAATTTCTCCACCAAGGTTTTGAAGCTCCCTCATCTGGTACTTCCTTCATTTAAATCTTTTGAGGAGTTAATGAGCATATGTATGAATGTATGTGTGTGCGCGTGCATGTAAGGTGTTTATTACTTAGGACAACACCCGACCCATAAATCCTCAAGAAAGAACTATCAGAAGCCCTTGTGGTACAGCGGCTAAGGCGCTCTGCTGCTCACTAAAAGGCTGTCAGTGTGAGCCTACTAGTTACTTCACAGCAACAGGGTTGGTGTCTGCTGCTGTCATCAGTAACAGCTCCGTCCGTCCCCAAACCTCGGAGACATCCTTCATGTTCTTGTTCTTGTCATCTCGCCACACAGCAGGTCTCCTAACCACGACCCAGAACACACGTGGGCTGGCCTTGTCTCTGCTGCAGCCATGCTGCCACCTGTCCAGGTCTTCTGTCTGACTTCTAACTGGTCTCTCTGCTTCTGGTCACACCCCTGCTGATCACTCAAGATATGTAGGCAGTGTGATCTTTGAAAAGCACCCATGAAATCATGTTCTTCTCCCACCAAAGGGACACGGACTTCCCTTTACACTTGAATACAGTCCAAGCACCCATGTGCCCAGCAGGCCTGGTTCTGCGCCTCTGGGGCCTCACGCCACCCCAGGCACTGGCCATCTCTACTGCAGCAGAGCACACTCGCCAGCACTGGGAGCAATGCACGGTGATCTCCCGGATGGGGAAACCTCTGCCCTCAGCACCCGCACACAGGCTTCTGCCTGCCAGGCTTGCAGAGGACTATCGCTGGCCACCAGACTCCATCGCTCTATTTCTTCACCCTGATTTTCTGTACATACATCTCTGCACTTCAAGTTATTCCACTGGAATGGAGGCTGCATGGACCCCACCCTCATCAGACTTGCCCCCAAGGCCAGGCACCCAAGGGCCAGGCACCCAAGGGCCCAGCACCAAGCTCTGTGCTTGCTCCCTGGACAGCAGGCTGCAGGGGCTCCTGGGAGGAGAGCCCTGTCCACCTGGAGAAACTGGCTTGGATATCACCACCTTCTCCCCTCTTCCCTGACTGCATTAGTAATGCCCCTGGGAAAGTCCACTGTATAGCTGACACCAGCAGAATTCCAGAACATTCCAGCAACAGGAGATGCCCACGAAAGCCAAGCATTGCCTCCTCCAGTCTGCACGGGAGTGGGAGCAGATCTGGGCCTCCAGAGGCTGAGCATGCCTCCCTCCCTATCCTGCCACCAGCTGGCAGCCGCACAGCCCTTTCCTGAGCTGTCCCTTTGGCTCGTCCAGGCAGGCAATGATGTCAGAAAGCAAAGAAAACTCTCATCAGATTTTGATGTGTTTTCTTGTAACAAAATTCAGGCAATTTGACCTTATTTTTTTCTCACAGAGACACAGTCGACATAAATCATATTAGCTTTGCTTTCTTCCATTAAGTGGACAAACCAGGCTATTTATTCTGGGCTCATCTTCTGCTTTCCGCCATCTCATTTCCCACCTCAGGAGCACGGTTGCTCTGCTTCTCCCAGGAACCTCAGGTGCACACAGGGTCTCTTCTGACACGGATCCCTGTTATCACACTGTGGCAGCACTTCCTCAGACCTGGCCTTTTCCATTTCATTTGGAGATAGTTCTTGGACATAATGCTCCATTCCTTTTCATAGTTGGCACCTCTTCTTTTTGGTGGGGTTTGGGAATGCTGGTCCCCCACCCCTACCAAAAGAGGCAGTGCCAACTTTAAAAAGGAATGTCAACTAGTGGTGTAGCGGGTTATGCATTGGGCTGCCAACTGCAAGGTCAGTGGATAGAAACCACCAGCTTCTCCGTGAGAGAAAGACAAGGCTTTCTATTCCTGTAAAGCCTGACAGTCTCAGAACCCTCAGGGACAGTTCTGTCTTGTCCTACAGGGTCAGTGTGAGTCAGTGAGTTTGTTTTCTTTTCTGAGAGGCTCGTGGTGGTCGTTATGACCTTCAGTTGGAAAGACAAATCAAAGCGATCTCTTTCTCTCCCCAGACTCACTCAGCACAGCAGATTGTTAGCAAGAGGCTCAGAAGTAATTGTGGGAATGACATTCCTTTTCAAATGTTTCTCTTTTTGGTCCTTCCTTTCTCACCCTCATTTTGAAACTGCTATTTCTCACACTGAAATCACACTAGGTGGTTAACAGCAAAAAGTGTGTGGCAGTGAAGCTGCCCATCCCCAGCTGCCACCTCCTCAGGTGCCCGACACCAAAGGTCTGGCCACGTCCTTCCCTGGCCCCTGACGCATCTTTACCTGAGAAGCACGCACACAGCTCTACAGGGGTCATGTGTGCCCAGCAAGAGGATTTATCCACCATTTATTATTCTGTAATTTGCGTTTCTTTCTTGAAAATGTGTTGTGAGAAGAAGAACTAGATCGTGCCCCCTTCTCACTACCAACTGCTCTGAAAGGTATCACATTAGATGTGAAGGTCCTGCATAAAGCTGGAGAAAAATGTGGAACCAAATTCAGTCATAAAAAAAAAAGATCCAGGCTCATGGTTGGATAGAGACTGGAGGAGCCTCTGAGAGTGACCATTAGTCACCCGTCAGGCCTGGAGATGAACTCTCCCAATGTTCTGTCATTCACAACACTCAACTTGTCTAGCTGATGAGTTGATAACTCATTGCGATGGCCACACAGAACTCACAGACAGTATTCATGATTAAAGGGTTTATTAAGGAAGTTAGCAGGTTGCAATGCAGGTGACACTCAGTGTAGTAGATAGGTTCAGTCAGAACACATTACAAAGTTCCTTCAGGGCTGCTAATAAATGCCCAAAGGGTATGCCACTCCACTGCGAACCTCAACCAGCAGACATGACATTCAGGCATCATCGGTCAGCAAGCCAGCTCCCCGAATTCAGTGCCCAGAGGCACCCCACTCCAGTAATCCTCAGTCTGAAGGCATTCAGCTCCCCCAAAGCTTCCTCCCACAGAACCTTCCTGGTTCAGCATGCTCACCTCCCCCAAGTGAGTGCCCAGAGGCACCCTGTTCCACAAGCCAGCTTCCTGCCCCAAAGCACTCAGCTTTACTTGCTCTGTGGGCTGGGATGTGCAGCACTCTGTCTTGTGATCTGGCTCCTGGTTCTGCTGCAGCTTCTCCGATGTCTTCTGGATCCAGAAGGTTCACTGTGCAGGGCCTTGGGTTCCAGAGGATGAACCCCACTCCTAGCTCTTGATGTTAGTGAGATTCCCTCTTTCTCCTTCTCAGAGAGCTCCTTTTATACCAGCAAGATGGCAATCACAATGTATCCTATTAACAATTACTCACAGGTGGATCCTCTCTCTGCCCCCTTCCCCCCACCCTACCCCCCAAGCCTCGAAAACTTACCCAGGTCCATGAGGGAAACGATCATTTGGTGGGCATTAGAGACTGGCTAAAAGAGCCGCATTAATTAATTCGATGTCCCTACACATCCCTGTAGCTCATTTTACAGCCAAAAAAATAGACAGTGCTAGAAGTGGAACAGTTACACCACAGAGGGACACACTCCATAGAGTAATCAGCCATTTGAGATCAGAAGGGCAGCATTCATTCAAGGGCAAAGTTCAGAAGGGTTAGTAAAGGAGGGGAAACCGGGAACAGGAAGTGGGCTAAGTGATGCTGCATTGTTGAATGGAAAATTAAACTGTTCTATGACCCTTCACCCAATTCACAATACAAAGTTCAGAAGAAGGCAATGAGGCGCACACATACACACACACACACACACACACACACACACACAGAGCCTCTTCTGTTTTCCTAGGCAGATGCTTTCACATGAACAGGAGCCTATGTGTGCGGGGCGTTTTTTTGTTGTTTTTTTTAATTGCCACACGGTATTTCTGTTTCCTCTGACTGCTCTTTCTTCTCTCCCCAACCCCATCCACTTCCTCTGCTGGGCAACACACGCCCTTGACTTTGCATCCACCCAGCTGCCTGCAAAGACCATGGTTCTTTCACAGGTTTGCTTAAGCTTCTCCATGGGCGTTCCATGTCCCTCACAATGAAGCAGAGGGTTTGAAAGGCCCAAGGGTTTGAAAGGCCTAAGCAGTTTCTCTCTTGCCACTTCCTACTCTCTTCTCTGTCACTCCCTCAGCCTCACCATCCCCTGGCCCTGTGGACATCTACTTCTTCTGCCGAGCATGCCCCCAGACCTCTGCCTTGTCCTCCTCCATTTCCTTATGCTCCCTGCTCCCTGGTACCTCGTCAGCCAGCCTCTGGGAACAGCCTCCTTAACATCATGTCTCCTCTCACTCTCCCACCACAGCACGCCTGTCTCCTCTTCCCTGCTGGCTCTCCCCTCAACCTTCGTGTGGTCTGGTGCTTTCTAGGCTACTGGCATGTATTCACTGCCTGCTCAGCTGGCCTGACAATAGCCTGGACTCTTGTTCCTAGGGTCTTTCCAGGGCTTTGATCAATGGTTGGGACATAGTAAGTGCTCTGTTAATCTCAAATGAATCCCTCAAGTTTTGATACTTTTTCGTATTGTGTCATTCCAAATATTTTCTCGCTCCCATTATGATTTTTCTTTGACTGTTGCATGGCAAATGTATGGGAGGTTGGGCATTTTTCTGATGATGGGTTTCTTCCTACTGCATTGTGGTCAGAGAATATGGCCTGCACGAGCCACTTCTTTAAAGTTGTGGTCGAGCACATGGCCAGTCTTCACAGCTGTCCCCCGTGGGCTGGAGAGCACGTGTCTTCTACAGCTCTGGAGTGCAGGATTCTGTACTCATGCTCGGGATCCCTCCACAGACAGGAAATCCCTCCACTCTGGAGAAACACTAGGCGTGGGGAACAGGAATTACTCCTGCCAGTACAACGGGGGAGCCTGTTCTGTTTCTTCTCCAGTGAGGCCACATTTTTCTCAGAACATCACAACGTTCAAGTGCTAGAAAGGGGGCTTGCACTGGGAATCAGCAATGCTGACTAATAGGCTGGTTTATTTGATCCAATCAAAGCCTGGACAACCCACCCATCTTTTCTGGGTCTCAGACATAACAACCAGCTTACATGAGGCACATCACTAAGTGCTACCCTTGGGCATCACACAGTGATGAAGGTAATGACTGCTGAGTATCAAATATGTGCCATGCATCCAGCTGGGCTCTAGGCGTGTAGTCATGAGTCAGCCCCAGCGCCTTTCCTTCTTCATTCAACAAGCATTTACTGTGACCCCAGCTCTGTGCTAGACACTGTTTATAGCTCAGTGGTCCCTGTCATCATGGGAGATATATTTGAGCAAGGGCACAAACTATAAACATGCAAACAAGCCATTGATTATACAGTTACAAACGGATAAGCGTCATTAAAGAGAAAAGAGTTCTGAGAAAAATAGCGGGGAGAGGGTTCCACTTGAGTTGACAGAGGAGGAAAGATCTCTGAGGAGACGATGTTAGAATGCAAAGGCAGAGATAAGGAGCTATGCACACCAAGAATGGGAGCAAAGTCTAGAAATAGGAAAGGCCCCAGCTGCTCGGGTGCCCAAGGCTGAGCACTGTGACTGACAGAGAAAGACAAGCCATCTACTTGAGAGAGGGCACAGACCCAGTCAGGCTGAGTTTTGCAGGCCCTGGAGAGGAATTTTAAGATTTTAAGCAAAATGGGTCTAAATCAGGATATAATTGTGATCTTAGATAGGTTTTCTGAAGATCATTCATAGCTGGCTGAGAATGGAGGACAATGGACTCATTAACAGACTATTGAAATAGTTTAGGGATTGTGGGGTACCCTGGGATGGTGGCCTTGTAGTCCAGGGATGGGTATTGCTGTAGACTGGGGCAATTATCACTGTGGTCAGGGGTGGGGTCACAATCAGGATGAGTGTCCCTGTAGTCCAGGGATGGGTGCTGCTGTGGTCTGGAGATGGATGCCACTGTGTCTGGGATTTAGATCGCCTCTGTAGTTCTGAGTAGAGTTGTACAATCATCACCACAGTCAATTTTAGAACATTTGGAACATTTTCTTCTTTCTTCTACTCACTATTATTAGCTCCACATTTATCCCCAACCTCCCCTGCCATACCCCTAAGAAACAATTAATCCAGTTACCATATCTATCGATTTACCCCTGTTGGTGTAGTGGTTACGCACTGGGTTGCAATCTCCAGGGTCAGCAGTTCGAAACCACCACCAGCTCTGAGGGTGAACGACTGGACTGTCTATTCCCATAAACAGTTACGGTCTTCAAAATCCACAGGGGGCCACTGTGACTCAGCAATGGCTCAATGGCAGTGAGTTTTCTTTAGATTTCACATACACAAAAACATTCTTAAAAGACAACAACAATAACAAAGTAAAAAAGAGACAAACCTCAATGGAAAACAAAGCAGAAACAAGTTAAAAAAAAGGGAGAGAGAGAAAAGACACACACCCTCTACGATCATGATCCCAGTTCTACCTTACAAATCCGGCTAGACCCGAGCATATACACTGGCACAGATAAGAGCACTTGACACATGGAATTCAGGCCACATAAACCCCTCAGGAACAATGATGGGAGTAGTGATACCATGAGGGTAGGGGGAGATATGGGGAAGCGATGGCAATGATTGATGTATAACAACCCCCCACCGAGGGTGACGAACAGCAGAAACATGGGTGAAGGGAGACAATGGATGGTGTAAGATATGAAAATAATAATAATTTATAATTTTTCAAGGATTCATGAGCATGGGAGGGTGGGGGAGTGAGGAAAAAAGTGAGGAACTGATACCAAGGGATCAAGTAGAAAGAAAATGTTTTGAAAAGGATGATGGCAATATATACAAATGTGCTTAATTCAATGGATGTATGGATTGTTAAAAGAGTTGGAAGAGCACCAATAAAATAGTTATTTAAAAAAAAGAAAGTGAAAAATATTAAAAGTAGAACCAAATTTAAAATGGGTCAAAGGAGAGATCAAACGATAAGGTGTTACATTTTTACCTAACTGCATCTGCGATAATCCACTTTTCAATGGTCTGCGGTCAGAGGGGATTCACTGGAGGTTTAGGCCATGTGTACCTCCCCATTACTAGTTTTTTTTTAACTTTAAAATGGGTCAAAAGGGAGATCGAATGATAAGATACTACACTTTATCTAACGACGTCTGTCACAATCAATTTTGCAGTGCTCCCTGTCTGATAACAAGGCTGTTCCCATCCCTCAACTGTGCTCAGAGGAGATTCGCTCGGGGCTCGGTCTGGACCCTGCGAGCAGGGCTGGGGCTTCCGCCGTCAAGCACAGCCCTCTGCAAGCCCCGGCCCCCTGGCACATTGCTGCATGTGAGCAAAAGGCAGGAAGACACAGTGACTCCTGGTCGGCAAGTTGTATCCCTGCGCCTGTGGAGGTGGCCATTGCTCAGGGAAACTGGGAGAAGAACAGGTTTTATGATGGGGAAGATCAAGGTTTCGATCTTAAATATATGAAGATGGAAGCGCTTGTGAGCCGTTGGTGAGGAGAAGCCACACAGACAGATGGTACACAGGGATGGAGCTCAATGAAAGGCTCGGGCTAAGGATGCCAGCTGAGACCAGTCTGATGAAAGTCGCCCTGGCTGCACATTAGCTCCCCTGGGAACTTTGGACAACAGCGGTGCCGGGCTCATCGCTGAGTCACCAAGTAGACTCTGGCTGGGTGACCCGGTCATGGGAAGACTTCTGAGGTGCCCTCAGCAATGCCGATACCCAACCAGCCTTGATAAGCACCGGTTATGGAAATGTGGCAGAGTAACAGAAGAGGGCCCCAGAGTGACTCCTTAGAAGTTCAGAGGGAGAGGAGTTGCCAACAGGAGGCCACGGAGGGGCCAACGATGAAAATGGAGATGGGAAGAATGTGATATCAGTGTCAGGGAGTCCACAAAGAGAGTCTGATAAAGCTGTGGAGCTGCAGCCAACTTACAGCCTTTGATCGTGAACCAGTGTTGGTAATACCGGATCCAATGTTTTATTTGATTCAAATACTTCATTTTTTCAAGGGTTCTCAGACTGCTTAAGTCAAGATATTCAGGGAAACTGTTCGTTAGAAAGTGATTTTGTTAGTAAGAAATTGGTATAAGAAGAGTTAGTTGATCTTATACCATTTCCTCGGCAAAGTATTTTTATGTACTGTCAACCCCCTACGGCTAGCTCTTCCAAGAAAATTGCCATTCTGGATAACACTAAGACAAGAGGCCTCCCTGCTGGGCAGGCCTCTGAGGACAGCAGCATTGAGTCTCTCATTTGTGTCTGTAGTTGCCCAAGACATTTTTATCCTCACTGCTGAGTTGGCTGATGCATTTATATTAAAATCATATAGTTAACTCTCCCCCAAACGGATACATCGATTCAAAACAATCCTAATTAAAATCCTAGCTGGATTGTGTGTGTGTGTGTGTGTGTACATTAACATTCTGACTCCTAAATTTTTTTTTGGCTGAGTCAGGCACATTTATTATCTTCTGGGAACAACATGGTCTTTCCCTCCCCAAAGTGGCCCCGGGCCACAGGGAAAGGCCAAGTCCCTCAGGTGGCAGCAACGCTGCCCCCTGGAGCAGGCCCATGGGGTGGCAATGTCATGGATGGCAGGAACAGGGCCTTCAGCTTGCCCAACAGGCTGGCAATCTCAGAGTACTGGGCTTTGTAGGACTTGACCAAGCGGGCAAACTTCAGGACACCTTCCCCATCACAGCTGAAACCATAGGCTTTGATGACCTTCTGCTGGATCTGCGTGGCCACGGGCAGAACAAATTGCAGCATCTTGCCCATGTCCTTGCACGCGTTGTCCCGTGCTCCGTCCATGCGCACGGCGTTCTCTGGGGCCGAGAATGCCTGGGTGACTTCGGCCAGGACCACCTTGGCCTGTTCATTGCTCAATGCCGGGGGCTGGGTCGAAGCGGATGCCATATAGGGCTAGAGAAAGTGCATGTGCAGTGAAGCCGCGGGGAAGAACCACTTCCCGAGAGCAGTTCCTGTTTTACTGGGGGGGGGTGAGGGGGGGAAATCTGGGGGAAAAAACAGAAAGCCCACTAGACAAATTCTGAAAGAGCTGTAACACTTGATTCCTAAATTTATATGGAAATGCAAACTAAGAAAATCCAAGATAAACTTGAAAAGTAAAACAGACTACTGAAAGGCTCACAAAATTGGCTAGGAAGACTATTTACAAAGCAATAGGAATTACTTAGACAATACAACAAAGTGTTGGATCCAGATAAACAAACAGACCAATGGCACAGGACAGAGAATACAAAACTGATCTACATATGCATATA